TGAGCCACTGCTCCCGGCCAATTTTTAAATTTTTTGTACAGTTTGGGTTTTGCCATTGCCCAGGCTGATCTTGAATTCCTGGCCTCAAGCAAGCCTCTGCTCCACCCTCCCAAAGTGCTAGGATTACAGGCGTGAGTCACTGCACCTGGCTATATCTACCTCTTTCATGTAGTCAGCTTCTTCAGGGCAAGAACATTCTTTCAGTTTCAGATCTAGGGGTACAGACATACCCCCAAAAGGCTGTGGTCCATTTGTGGCAAATGATGAAATCTCTAGTTTTGCTTCAATTCTCCCAAATAAAAAGGAAATATCATTTTCTCTGTCAGAAAGGATCCAGGAGGATTTGGAGACCATTAAAAAGAAACTCAAAGGAGATGGAAAGCCAAATCTGAACCTGTGGTTGTTGGTTGTGGACCAATTTAAAAACACCTATTGTCCTTGGGAATGTCAGAGCTGCAGCTGTGAGGCCAGACAAGATAATTGGACTTGCTTAGGTGCATCATCTATCAGGAGTTACTGCGTGACTGAGTTTGCAGTCCTGCATGTACGTATTCTGCAGAGCTTGCTATTCAAGCTGCAAAGAGCACTTATCTGTGTCCTACATGGTGCTGTCTGACTGGATCTGTAAAAACCACAACTACATAACTGAACTGTATTTAGTATCCAGGCAAGTGTTGCAGTGAAGAAAATGTACAAATTGTGGACAACAGGAATAAAATCACTCAAGCTGTGGCTGCAGTCCAAAGTCAGGGGGTCTTTTTTGCGGGAGATGGGGAGTTGAGGGTACCTACTAGAGCTGCCAAGTATTGACAGTGACTTTTCAGATATTAACTAGGCATACATTGTGCACAGACAGTGTCTAGACTACAGAAGGCAGGTAGTGCACCCAAGAGTGAGCCAGGGACTGCACTGTTGGCTTTTGCCAGCTTTATTACAGTCCAGGATTGTGTGTGCTCTCTGCAAGGAAACCATGACATATCCACCTGCTGCTCCCAGCTCATTCCTTTCCAGAGAGCAGCATGTGAGCAGGAACCCTGCATTGCCCTTTATTTAGCAGTGTGTTGTTTGCCTGTAGTCCTCCTGCCACCTGTACTGGGGCTGCTTCCAGACCAGAGGCCAGACCCCATATTGTGAACTCAACATGGGTGACAAGTGTCTGGATGGGGTGTTGGACAGCAACAACTGTGAGTGAGACATCCTAAACAATTACAGTAGTCCTCCCCACCTTATCTGCAGTTTCTCCTTCTGTGGTTTTGCTTTCTTTGGTTTCAGTTACCCACGGCACAGTACAAGAAGATATTTTGAGAGACTAACCACATTCAGATAACTTATTATAGTATAGTTGTAATTGTTCTATTATTAGTTATTGTAAATCTCTTACTTTGCCTAATTCATAAATTAAATTTTATCATAAATTTGTATAGAAAAAATAATTTA